CCACGGCTCTCTGCAACACGAAATTTACACCAGCTGTCTTCTCCTACGGGGCAATTTTCATGTTTCGGATTCTCATCTGTTGAGACCATATGCCAATACGTTGCCATTACATTTCTCTGCATATCCTCAACAGAGTCGCTATTTCTCATTATAGCAAGGCCATAATACTATGTAATTTTTTTTAATAAGAGCATCGGTTAGTTTTCCTTTGCCTCCAAACTTTTTCTCTTTTTTTATGTTGCGGAGCCGAGTACCCATACGTTTTTCTACGTGATTCACACACTCACTTTTTACTACAACATGCTCGTCTCCGTAGGGATTCAAATCAAGGATAGCTTTGAAAGTTTTCGAGTCCCCGTCACCGATATAGTTCATGTAATGCACGCCGTATTTCCTTTCAGAAGCCGAGAACATTTCTTTTATTGAGTCCACTTCCATTTTACCCGCACTGCCAATATGATTCGCCGAGCATTCTTCTTCATGTGTCTCGTACCAATTTTCAAATTCTTCTGTTTGTTCTTTTCCTTTCCAAGCAATGCACGGTTGACAATAAGAACTTTTCACCACCAGATCAATAACTTTACCGCTGAAAGAGGCAATCAATGTTGTAACGCCGTATAATGAAGTAAATTCTCGTTTTTTCCAGTTCCCATCACCGGAAACTTTGAAATCGAGTAAAGACCTCTCCCTTTCTTCATTCTCTTTTTTCTCTTGCTCAACTACTCTTAGGCACATAGCATCAAACACCAGTTTCGTACATTCATGTATATGCTGTACTACTCTATCATACGTTCCTTTGCTGAGTCCCTTGCTAATATCCATGAGTGAAACAAATAAGTTGAGGCGTTGTAATCCGATACCCAAAAGTCTCATGGCAAATATAATTCGATGATTTATTTCATAGCCAGTGTTTCTTAACGGCCCGGAATCAATCAGATGAGTACCACACGCGCACTTGACTGCAATTTTGAAACCAAGGCCACGAGTTCCCGTTTCTTCAAAATTCAAATTACGCTTGCACACTTTACAAATCGCGAGTTCTGAAATGGCAGCGAAAACACTTACAAACTCAATTATTCTATAAAAATGAGTTAGTTTTACACACACATCTTCTTGGGACGCAGTTTCTAATTTTCGAGCAGACGTGCCTTGTCCGACAGGCTCGTTATCTTCACCTGTAAAGTGATTACCGTGAAAACGTCTTCTTTTTGGTCTTGATGAACGAAATGAATCTTCTTTTTCACCTTTCGGATACGAAGCCATGTTGACAAAATCACGATAATTTATAAATAAAGCGCTATTATAATAAGCGCTCGGAGCGCTCGGAGCACGCGCACTATATATTATATTTCGACTGTTTACAGTTCGAATTCGAACTTGAAACTTTGGGAGCATATTCTACGGATGATATACTTTCAATTTAAGCAAAAAAATAAAAATCGATTTTTTTGACCCTCTAATGTAGGCGGTCCCCTAAAATGCATTTTCCCCTCTCGTAAAAAAAAAAATTACAAGTGAGTGAGCGAATAAGAAAGAGAGAGAGAGAGAGAGAGAGACAGACAGAGAGACAGCAGACAGAGAGAGAATGTATGTGTTCGCATGTGTATCTGTATGTGTATAGCGACCAGCTGATCGCAGCAGGCGCCCCGCGTAAGCGCCCGCGTCTGACGGGCCTCGCGTTACCCTTGTCTGCCTCTTGTATCTGACCCGTCATGCGTTAACTACTTTCTTTAATAATTCGAAAACTAAGCTTCTGACGAAATTTTGCAAAAGGAAAAATCGTCTTAGAATTGACTCAACAATGTGTCATTAGTGACACTGGGGTTATTTTGAATCACCCTGTATATATTAATTATGTTTTAATTTATTTTAAGAAATTTTACATAAAATTGTATTTGAGAATCATGTATAATTATAATTTAATAAATAATTATAACTAATTGAATTACATATAAGAAATTGAATAATAAATAATAATTATGAAATTATAAAATTTATAATAACATTTAAATATTATAATTATATTTAAATAACTATAGTAAATAACTAAATTTAAATTTTATTTTATTTTATTTTATATTCATTGAATTTTAATTGTAGTAGATTCCTTTTCAATTTCGTTTTTTTCTTCACATTTCCTTTTAAAAATTTTTGTGCCCAACATGCATTGTGAAAATGACAATCTTCTACCTTCTTCAATTACTTTAATGTCAGACATTTTTTCAACTTTAAGAAAATATGTGTTATCTATAAATTAAATTATGATATTGTTAAAAATAAAGAAATGATTTCTTAGAATTTATTAAATTGTATTATTTAAATTTGTAATGGGCGTGATCCGTTAGGGTCGCGAATAGCCGCAGTCGTGTCTTTAAGGATTGGTTAGGCAAGCGCAACAAAAAAAATACGCGTGGTTATTTTATAAATGTATGTATTTGAGTGTTGAGTATATACAGTTGTGTCAATGGTGTGTGTGTGTGTGTGTGTGTATGTGTGTATTTCGAACGGTACAGCGCGTGAATCGGTCGGGTGTGTGTGCGTATGAAATTCCTTGGGCACAAAAATGCGATGTTCCTACGATAAGCTACGAGTTTTTCGCTCGATCGTTGTACCACCGGATTAAATGTTTCGGAAAGTGGCCGGCGTTTATCTTGCTCGTATGCAACGTAGAAAGATGCGCTTCCGTGATGTAATACAGGTTTTAAGCGCGTTTCAGATGACACAAGTCCGGTTCGAAACGGTCGTCGCGTTTTCGTGCAGTGTGTAATTTTTGGAAATCAGCTGATCGAATCTAGTTTCGATCGCGACGCGGTCGATGACCGCATGACGTAAGCGGCGCGTGTTTACGCTGTTTTTGCACGCGATCTTTTCTCTACGTTCGCGGAATTGTGCGGTATATTCTTCGGATGGTGTTGTCGGCATTCCAGGGATAGTCAGTGCTAGCGGGAACAATCCGCTGGGGGCAGCTCCTCCCTACCCCATATGAACTGACTGGGCTAGGATGGATGTTGCGTACCGAGATCTCCCGGTTAAATCGGGGTGCGCCCCAATTTAGTTTTGCACGTGGAAAATGGGTGCTGCGTCTACTTATTCGGAACCCTGAGATTTCCCAGGCGTGGTGGAGAACACCCCACCGCTTGGTCGCGAATCTTTTCGACTCTTCAATGTGTGGCTTTCTTTTGCGACTGCTCGCTCGAGAAGCTCGGATAAAAAGGTACTCATCTAGTTAACGGACCCCTTTTTATACTGGGCTAATTAGCCCGCGCCGGCGTACATTGGAATTGCTCTCACCGAGCGGACGGAAAAACGGAACAGTGTGGGTTCCGCTCGTGGAGCGGAACCTGGGAGCGCGGCGGAGCCGGGCGCGAGGAGATTTAACTCCTTCGCTCGGCACTCGTCGGCCGTTTTTGGCTCGCTTCGCCGATTTGGTTTGGCTCGGTTTCAAGCCGTTGCGGAGTTAAAAAAAATGTGGTGCTACGCGACTTGTCCTTGCCCGGCGGTATTCTGTCGGGTGGCAGCTTCCAGCTCGCATGCTGGGCATAATTAGGGGAGGTGCAAGGGTGCATCGTTACAAATTAACAAACTAAAAAATTAATTTTAATTAAAGTTTATAATTAAATATTTTTATTATATGTTATTAAAATAATAAATTCAAAATATTAAAATATAAAATTTAAATAATAAATTTAAATATATAATAATAAATATATAATATATATTAATTATTTAAATTTAAATATAATTTAATTTAAAAAAGTGGGAATCTCAAGTAAATTAAAATAAAAAAATGTCTTAAAAATTAAAAAATTAAAATTAAAAAAGTTAAAATTAAAAAAATTAAAATTAAAAATAAAAAAATTTAAATTTAAATAAAAAACTTAAAAATAATATGAATAAATATTTATAATATTTATAATTGAAAAATTAATTTTTTAAACTAATTTAAATAATTAAAAGTTAACTTGATGTAAGTTGTACATATCCTTTTAATATAATCTCTTGTCCTTTTTCGAAAGAATTATTATTTTCATATTCATCTATTTGCACTTCCAAATTGTAAAATCCATCAGTTATGGAACTATATCCACATATTGTATAATTGGATGTCGTGTAAAAATTAGTTTTAATAAATGCTTGTATAACTAAGAATAAGATTATTTTATTACAGCTGATGGTATATATGCAGAATGTTTGATAAAGATTGAATCAATGCTTGTAAATAAATTTTTGGGAAACATTTTGAATCTAATTTTTCTTTTACAAAAACGTCAGCGTCAGAATAAATTTTGAATTCCTAATTTTCGATATTGTAGTTATGTAATTCAGTTTTAAATTAAATTTTTATTAAATTAAATATCACTTGAAATTAAGGAATGTAATTGTGTTAATCTTTTACTCAAAATTTAGTTTGTGAAGAAACTTTTTTTAAATAGCTTATAATTTGAAAATTATTGATATCTTAACATTTTCAATGAGAAAAAATCGTCTTTAATTTATAGCCAGAGAATTTGCTTATAAGTGTTGATTTAATCTTTACAAGACATTCTATATATGTATACTAATATTAATAATAATACTCTGTATATTAATATTAATAAAAATATTAATAACTAAACAATATATATATTCTTGTATTTACTAATACGTATTTATTATTTTTTTAAATATATCTAAATATCTTACGTATGTGCTCGGAACAATAGAATCACGACGTGGCACGATGATGCACATGACACGACCTTGCATATGGCACCACAGTAAGAAGAAGCTTTAAAAGGCCGACCGAGAGACGGATCGTCGGAGAAGCATAAGTGTGGTCAACGTGTACGGAGCACAATATCGTGCTCGAATCTTCTACTACTTCGGACTGTTCATGGAATCAAGATATAATATCAAGACACAACGACGTTAAACATTATTAGTGAATTAACGAACAAACACAACAATTGGCACTCCGTATCACAACAATTGGCGCTGCGGCTTATTGAACCTGCAAGAAAATGGACCGACTACTTCAAGCGCTAGCAGAAGCTGCGCTAAGCCAGGAGCACACATTACGTCAGATCGGTGAGTCACAAAAGAAAATGACAGAGATACTATCACATCGAATATCGGAAACGGACGATACTGCAAAGTCGTCGCAATTCGCAAATCTGGCTACACGGCTCGGTAAATTCGTTCATGACCCTGCAAGGGGTAAAACTTTCACGTTGTGGTTTGAACGACATAGAAGCACTTTCGCGGAAGGAGCGAAGGGTTTAACCGATACGGAGGGAAAAGAGCTACTTCTTAATGCTCTCGGGGATGACGAGTATCAACAATTACTCAGTCGTTTATCGCCGAAGAAACCGCAAGAGATGTCTCTTGCAGATCTCGTGCAACATCTTCGAAAACAGTTCCACGATAATAAAATGTTATTTCAACGTCGTTTTGAAGCTCTCAATTTTCGTGCTTCCCCGCCAGTAACGGCTATAGAAATACTTGATAAAGTAAATGTCCTGGGAGATGCCTTTGAGCTCGATAGTTTCAATATCGACCAGCTCAAAATTCTACTAACGGCTCTCGCCCTAAGCGACCACACCTACTACACGGAGCGAACAGTCTTCTTCAAGGTTGTATCAGAAAAAGAAAACTGCACATTTCAAGACATTAGAGAAATCTGCTACGCACATGCGAACCGCACGGCTGACGTCATGCGCGTTAAAGGACAGCGCTTCTCCGAAATCAACGCGGTCAGCCAATCTACAAAGAATTCATCTAAAAAGAAAGGTAAATATTACGAAAAGAAAACAAATCCTACTACACTACATTACGAGAAAAAGAGAAATTCTACTACATTATCGCCATGCTATGGCTGCGGTTCCACGAAACACAAACGGGATGCATGTCCGTTTAAGAATGCAGCGTGCAGAATCTGCAAGAAAACGGGACACATTGCTAGAGTTTGCTTATCGAAGCAACGAAATAAAATAAATACTGTCACATTACAAGGTGTTCTAGACACAGGTCATCGATATCGCAAATTCGCGCATATTACTATCAATAACATGCCATTGAAAATGCAGCTGGACACAGAAGTGGATGTAACTACGATCGGGAGAGAAACTTGGACACGAATCGGTCGTCCAAAACTCCAACCTCTTACTACTTCATGTGTGAATGTTTCAGGACATCCAATGCATACCATAGGATTTTTTAACGCCTCACTTGGCTACAAAGACTGTATGATAAAAGCACAAGTCATCGTACTTGATCGTCCAGAAACTGCACTACTTAGTTCTCAAGCAATAGATGAGTTTGGCTTAATTACCTACGATACAGGAGTCGTCGGAAATCTGCAAACGATGAATACGATTACGGTAAATTCATTTCATAAACAATTCACAGAACTTTTTAGTAGTTCTACAGGAGAATGCACCAAGATGACGGTTCATCTGCGGCTTAAACCAGATGCGAAACTAAAACATATTCCACGACGTCCAATCGCACTTGCATTAGAAGAACCAGTCAATGAGGAACTGGATAGACTCGTTAAAAATGGAATTTTAACGCCAGTCGACTTTTTGAAATGGGCGGCGCCCATAGTAGTTACACGCAAAGCAAATGGAAAAATACGTATTTGTGCAGACTACTCTACAGGATTAAATGACGCACTTGACGCGGAGGATTATCCAATCCCAGGGATAGAGGAACTTATGGCAAAACTTCGAGGAAGTTCTATCTTCTCACAACTAGATTTATCTGATGCTTATTTCCATCTAAGACTGGATGAGGAAAGTAAGAAGCTAACTACAATAAATACTCATCGAGGTTTATTTGCTTACAATCGGTTGGTTTTTGGGTTAAAACCAGCTCCTGCAATTTTCCAACGTACGCTGGAACAGGCACTTACAGGTATTCCAGGCGTACTCGTCTATCTTGATGATATTCTGATTTATGGTCAGGAACGCACACAGCACGATACGCGTTTATACCGTGCTAAACCGCTTGCAAGAATGGGGGGGTTTTCGACGAAAAGGAAAAATGTAAATTTCATACTTCAATAGTTAAATACCTTGGATTTATTGTTTCAGCTAAAGGTATTGAACCTGACCCAGCACGTCTTCGACCTATTCAAACAATGCGACGAATACAAAAGAGATACGCTCGTTTTTAGGTCTGATTAATTACTACGGGAAATTTGTACCAAATTTGCATCGACTCAAAGCACCATTCGAAGCTTTGATCAAGAAAAATGTACTCTTCGTGTGGACATCAAAAATGAAGAAAACGTTTGAGAATATTAAAAATATTCTTACTGGACCACTTCTACTAGCGCATTACGATCCCAGACAAACTCTGATCGTTGCAGCAGACGCTAGTCTGCGACCAGATCGGAATTGGTGGCGTTTTGTTACAGCGCGCATCAGATGGCCAGGTAAAAGCAGTCTTTCACATGTCAAAAGCATTGACAAAGACTCAACAGAATTACAGTCAAATCGAAAAAGAAGCTTTAGTCACTGCTGTTGAACGTTTTCGAAAATTCGTATATAGTCGTCACTTTGTGCTACAAACGGACCATCGTCCACTTCTAGCCCTGTTTAAAACGTCGAATACAAAAGGTCTAGATACACGCACAGCAAATCGTTTGAAGCGATGGACTCTTCGACTAATTGGATACAACATAGAATATGTCAACTCCTAAAAATTTGGTCAAGCGGACGCTCTTTCAAGGTGCAACATTCAGCGAATTCTCGCTGAGGTTATAGATCGTCTACAAAACGGATGGCTTAAATCGGACGTAACTGACAAGGAGTTAATGCCATATTATCGTCGTCGCGATTACTTAGCCATAGTTGATAATACATTAATTCTAGATGAGAAACTAATAATTTCTAAACGTCTACAATCTACTGTACTGAAGCAACTACACATTGCACATCCAGGTATCCGCCGGATGATACAGCTTGCTCGACGTTATTTCTATTGGCCGGCGATGCATGATGACATCGAGAGATACGTAAAAGAATGTAATTATTGCGATCGCACAGCAAGCAACCTAATAAAAGAACCATTACATCCATAGCCAAATCCAGACAAATCATGGTCACGCATTCACATTGATTTCGCAGGTCCGATACATGGACAATGGGTACTCGTCATTGTCCGCAGCTACTCCAAATTCGAAGAAGCAGGTTCTCAACAATAACATCGGCAGCAACATGTCGATATCTGCGAAGACTCTTTAGTCGATATGGACCTCCTGAAGTACTAGTTTCAGATAACTCAATTCACTTCAGTAGAATTCGCGCAACTGTGCGCCGAATTTCGAATTCTTCACCTCCTGGGCATCCACAATCAAATGATCAAGCCGAGAGAATGGTCAGAACATTGAAAAGTTCTATCGACACAAGTCAAAGTTCACAGTTAGAAACGGAATTAAACAAGTTTGTTTACGCATACAACTACACACCCAGTGATGCGGTACCAGATCATAAGTCTCCGGCAGAAATATTCTTTGAACGTAAGCTTAGAACTCCATTAGATATTTTTACTGCAACCGAAACCGACTTTACCGAAAAGCTAATCTAAATCTTACTTCTCAGCAGAAGCAAATGAAACAGCAATTCGACGCTCATCATGGCGCAAGGCCACGTTCATTTGTTTTAGGTCAATCGGTACTAATTCAATTCTCCAATGGACAGCGTATTCCTGGAAAAATTGTTAGGCTGATAGGGAAAGCACTCGCTCGCGTCAGCTTTGAAGGAGGATTCATTACTAGACATTTCAATCAAATATGGAATCGTCCAAAGAGACAGGAAAAGAAATCCAATACGATTAGCGAAGATCTACTATCCTCCGGAAAAGAATCAGCACGGATTCAACCAGATCCAGTACTTCACACTTCGCTAGGAGAAAGAGAGGAGGCAGAATCTCTCAACAACGGGGCCACACAACCTCCAGTAGCAGCAGCTCGTCGTTCTGAACGTCTTCGCATCGAATTCGATCAGATTACAAGGCATTGGGAGGAACTCGCCCCTACCGAGGACAGCATTCTTAAGCAAGGGAGGAATGTTGGGTATATTGCGCTACTTCATCCGGTGAGCGTGAATCATACATGACTGCATCGACTGCATCACTCGGATCGGAATGTAACTCGGAACAATAGAATCACGACGTGGCACGATGATGCACATGGCACGACCTTGCATACAGCACCACAGTAAGAAGAAGTTTTAAAAGGCCGACCGAAAGACGGATCGTCGGAGAAGCATAGGTGTGGCCGACGTGTACGGAGCACAACGTCGTGCTCGAATCTTCTTCTACTTCGGACTGTTCATGGAATCAAGATATAATATCAAGACACAACGACGTTTAACATTATTCGTAAACAACGAACAAACACAACAATTTGCACTCCGAAACACAACAATTGGCGCTCCGAAACACAACAACTTTTATTCAATAGCCATATTAATGTTGAAATAGTTTCGAGTATACAATCTGTAAAATATTTATATAAATATATTTATAAAGGTCATGATGCTGCATCCGTAGTTATTGGAGAAAATGTGGATAAAACTATAAATCATGAAGAAATTTAAGATTTTATTGAAGCTCGGTGTTGGACCCGTGAAAGCATATTGGCGTATTTTAAGTAAACCTTTGCAAGAATAAAGTCACGCTATATTTCGTTTACCGGTTCATTTACCAAATGAACATAATGTAATAATCGATGATAATATTAATAATGATGCGATAAGATCTGCTGTAGAACGAGTAACGAGTAACAATGTTGTTAGATTATTTTGAATTAAATGCTCGAGATGAAGAAGCAAAACAATATTTATATAGTGATATTCTATCTCATTATGTTTTTAAAAAAATTAAAATTAATGACAGAATTATTAATCGCTGGGAGAAACGTCAAAGATATTTTAATTGTATTGGTCGTATATTGTCAGTCCGTCTCAGATAGAATTGTTCCATTTACGTATACTTTTACATGTTAAAGGAACTACAAGTTTTCAAGTATTAAGAACAATTAATAACGAAACATCAAACTTTCACTGCCGCATGTTTAGCATTAGGACTCATAGAAGATGATGATGAATGGTATCGTGCAATGAATGAAACAAAAATTTGGATGATGCCAAGACAACTTCGTAATTTATTCGTACGAATTTTAATTCATTGTCAACCAATTCGTCCGAAAAAGTTATGGGAAGAGTTACAAAAAGATATGTAGGAAGATTATATAAGACGATTTGGATCTATAATAGGAATAAAAAAAGTTTATAATCATATTATTAATTTACTTCAAAAAGAAGGATCAAATATTGCTAATTTTCCTGAAATGGAACAAGAAATAGAAGAACAATAAATAAATAATGAAGAACAGGTTGAAGAAGATACAAGAATAACAATTTCTTAATCGTATCACTTTGTATTGCAAAAATATACCATATATCCATTTACATTTAGAAGAAGACAATTTCCAGTAAAATTGGCATTTGCTATGACCATAAATAAATCACAAGGACAGACTTTCGATAAAATTGCAATAGATCTTCGAAAAGATATTTTCAGTCATTTTTTTCCAGGACAATTGTATGTCGCATTTTCTGTATGTCGAGTTCGTTCTTGGGATTCGTTAAAAGTTTATAAAAGTTTTAAAAGATGATAATGTGACCAAAAAAATAAAAAAATTATGTTTATAAAGAAATACTTGATATTATTACTTGGTATTATTTATAAAGATATACTTGATTAATGAAACAAATAAATATATGATGACGTATGATTATGTTATAATGATGATAAAAAATGATAAAATAAACATTTAAAAGATTTTTATTTCAAATTTTTGATTTAATAATAATTTTTAATAATAATAATAATTTTGATTTAATAATGGGTAATGATCGATAATGGCGCGCGCTGTGTGCTAGTCCTTTAAGAAAAAAGGCGTGTTACCTGGGTGAATTTCGTTTTTATCGAAGTTTTGAAGCCTCTTTTCCGCGAAGCTGATTGGCTTTCTTAATTCGCGTTGTGCGTTATATTCATAGCATCGGGCATCACGAGGGTTAACAGTTTGACAGTTGTTCAAAAATAAAATTATATTTATGTGTGGCTGTTTATTGTGTTTTTTTGATATTTCGTGTGAGAAGATAAAAGATAAGAAAGAAGAAGAAAAATAGATTAAGGTATGTATATTATAACATAGCTATTTGAAAAAAATGTATAAAGGAGGAGAGGAAACGAGAGAGAGAAAAAAAAAGAGAGAAAGAGAGTGTGTGTGTGTGTGTGTGTGTGTGTGTGTGTGTGAGAGAGAGAGAAAGAGAAAGAGAGAGAGAGAAAGAGAGTGTGTGAAAATCTTCATTACGCACATAAATTTGAAAATTCCATCAATGTTTATTTAGAGAAAGATTATAAAAGAAAATTCAAGAAGAACTGAGCAGGATTAAAACAGAAAAAAAGGAAAGGAAGAGGAAGAAATATAGAATAGATAATAGTTAAAAAAGAATTGAATAAAAAAGGTATACATGTATAAATAAATTATATTAAAATTTTTGATTTTCTATAAGCTGCAAAATTTATGAAGTTCTTATTATCGAAAAATAAAAATAAGTTTTTATAAAAAATAAATTCTTATTTCATTAAGTTCTTATTATATTTATATTACATAATAAATTACATTTATTTATATTTATTTATATTTTCTTATATTTTTTAAAAATTGAAAAATTATTGAAATATTTTATACAAAATATTTAAACAAAAATATTAATTATAAATAGTTTACTGTCTTCAAAAAATATTTTATTGTCTAAATGTCTGAAATATATTTTTAAAAAAATTTGGGAGAGAGAGAGTGAGAATAATTAAATATTTTATCATAATTATTATTTTATCATAATTATTATTTTATCATATTATATTTTAACGGAAAAATTAATTATTAATAAAATGCATAAATATATTCATTTCAATTATATTACATTACGTTACATTACACCCGATTATAAAGATATTTTTAATGATTTGTGCGCGTAATACGATGTTCATTTTAATGATGTAAGATATAATATAAATATAAATTTATTAAGTTACTTAATTATTATATATTTTTTAAATTGTTATACGATTTATGATAATTTATTTGACAGAATGCAAATGTTATAAAATGTTATTTCAATTTTGTTTGACAGAGAAAACGAAGAATTAGAAAAGAAGAGTCAAGAACAATCAATCAAAGAAAAAAAGTGAAAGAAAGAGGAAGAAAGATAGAATAGATAATAGAAAAAGAAGAAGAAAAAAAAGGATTTAATAAAGAAAGGTATGCTATAGAAATAAATTACATTCGGAATTGAAATTGACTTTTATTTTATCTTGATTATTCAATCAAAGATTAATGCAATAATATTCTTACACATCCCAAATCTTACAATTTGTTTGAAAAATTTTTGTTTATAACAAATTATAAAAAAGATATTTAAATATTAAAATTTATAATTTGAAGGATACTCTATATATAAATGTAAAAATATTTTAAATAAAAAGTATTAATTTATAATTTTTTGTTTCAGAATTAGGAACGATGATATAGTAAAAGATTAAAAGATTGAGCCATAAGAAGTCATTAATGATAAGAAGAATTGGAAAAAATAACAAATAATATAATAATATAAACTATAATATAAAATAATATAAACATTAATGTGTCGTAAATATTAAAATAATTAGATATAATATCATAAGCAGATTGAACGTTTTATATTAGTTAATTCTTATTTAATGTAGTTATTTATATTATTATCTTGTTTTCTCTTAATTTATGTGATTCATATACATGTATATTAATATTATATTTAATAAAAAGTAAAATTTGATGATGACAAAATAATGACAATATAATGATGATAATGATATAAAATAATACAAAAGAATAATAATAGTATTAAATAATAATAATGATGAAAATATTGATAATGATGAAAATGATGATTATGATGATAATGATGTTGATAATGTTGTCGATGATGATAATTATAAAAACGATGGCAATTATGATTACGATGCAATATTAATAAAATATTAACATTGATAGTAATATTAATTTATTTACTGCATTTTAAATAAAAATTTGAATTTGGATTTAAGTATATATAATATATTTAACTTTAATCTAATCTAACTCAACCTAACTTAATTTTAACTTAATCTGACATGATACAACTTAGAGAAGAGGCTGATTAAATTAAATCGTTCAATATAAAAAAAAACTCATTGCTTGATCAAATTGTTTCTTTTAACTTTGAATTATTTTTATTTATTATATTTTACTATTATATTATTTCACCAAATATTACATTGTATTTTTGTCTGAGTGATAAGATTCACCAGATTGATAACTGTATTGTGCTTAATTATTGTCTTTAATTAAGAATTTTATGCATTATTAATTAATAACTTATTTATTACATTTTTTACTTTATATTTAACTTACATTTAACATTGTTTTTTTATACTTATACTAATTGTAAGCTTATATTTATAGTTTATTAGTATATGTCAATATTTTTAACAAACATAGTATTTTACTCTTCTATTATAACATAGTATTTTATTCTTCATCAGTATTTTATTCTTCTATATCATTTTTATAAAATGCCAAGACGTAGAATTCAACGTACTGCAGAAGAAGAGGAAGAATTTCAACAATAATGTCGTGAAAAAAGAAATGAGAATCAACGACGTCGTCGTCAAATTGAAAAAGAAATAAATATAATAAAAACAAATAATTTGAGAAATCATATAATAGAATTAAATACTGAAGTTGAGGAAGAACACATTGCAACCTCTTCTAATGATAATTATAGTATAAAATTTAGGAATCAAAACGTTGAAAATTTTTTAAATATTGTAACAAGAAAACAACAACGGGCGGAAAAGCAAAGCAATTATAGATAAGAAAAAGACAACAGCTTCTTCTAAATATTAATAGTACAAATGCATTAAAAAACGTTATTGAATATTATATAGGTTCTATGAATGTGATTTGTATTCATTGTAGTG